CTCAAAAAACTAGCGGTGTCGTCGCAATTTTGTAGCAGACTCAGCTTAGACGGAGCAGTATAGTTGTATGAGTACAGTAAGTGTCCGTCGGGACGATTGCATTGAGGTTATTTTGCTGTAGTTCTCTGAAAAGTACAGGATTGATCCCATAAGAACGCCTCGGGAACATTATTTCAGCATGCATACAACCGAATCCCAAGAATCTTGCAAGTAATCGGTGGGTATAAATTGCTATATAAAATTTATATGGGCAACAGGATGCCAACATAGTGTCTTGTGGAATACAGTTGAGCGCGTTACGGACACAACGCCCCGGGACTGATAAAAACCTTGTCACATAAACACCACCAATGCGCATCGCGGCCCAGACGGCTCTGTCCACATTCACAACATTTCCCAGGCCGATCCCGTTCCACAACAGGTGGGAAAAATAAGCCACAAACATCGACTCATATTCAAGACAGACATGAGGAATTGGACAATGCAGCATAATGCGTTTTCTGGGATGTGTGCTTCTACAATTTTGGGTAACATTATGGTCACCGACACCGCATGCTCTAAAACTATTCCAGCTGGGTGATCGTGACTGCTGCCACTCCGACCAGCGAGAATGAAACGTTAACAGCAACCATGGAAACAAATTTAAAACGGCATAATCTTTAACTTCTAAACACTAGCCACATCGGTCCTCGGTACGGTGGAGCCAGTTAGAACAGTTTTGGTAATCAATACAATCACATGACGCGAAAATAATGTTGATGATTCAGGATAACGCAGGAACAAGCATTGGACATAGGAACAATAACACGTAATTAGGATGGCTTAAACCCAGCAGCGCAGTTAGAATACGTCTACTGGCAACACGAACCAAGAGGAAAGCACAAATCACGTAAACAGTAGTATTATACACAAACTTGCGATCAATATAAATACCAAATTTTAGATGTGGGACAGTAATGAAAAGACCGTAAAAGTACGCAGGTGATAAAAATAGCAGGATCAGGTTCCACAACTTCCGTCGGAGGCAGGAAGTCTAGGGAAATGTGAAGGGCGATCTTTGAGTAACATTTAAGGCGACCAACGGATGTTCAATGAAGAAATGCCATACATGTGGAGTAACTTTGAAGAACACTCCACACAGTCCATACACTACGCCACTGTTGCTGCGGCGCCATCAGAAGTCTGTACAGGCGGGGCTTCAACCGGTTGAGTGGTTTCATTAGCAGTGCTAGTGGTAGGAACAGTCGTATTTGCGGCGAAAGCGGTACCCACATTGGAATCACCACGAGTGTCAGGAGTGTGCCACGTCAAACGTTCCTCGTAGAATCGGATGACCGTTTGAGGACATTTAACGTTGGCTTCTCTTGCAGGTACAAGATCAGCCTCGCTAGAATCTTTCCTGAAGGAATAACAATTGCTTACGCGGCGGCATGAAGAGTAGGGGTACGTCTCAAAATGAAATTTGCATGTACCAACTTACCACTTAATAAGAAACATAAGTTCCCCACTGGAGTCCGTCGCACCAATAATTCGATCTGGTTTTAGACCGCGGCTGAAGCCTCGGGTTGTCTTTGAAGGAGTCCCAGACTAAATGAAAAATAATTTTGGGGAGTAACAGAAGGAACAGACAATCAACACTTAGATCTGAGTCGAACAGATGTAAATACTTAGTACAGACGCTTAAGCAGACTTAAACGTAAAATTCGGAGAAAACCAGAAGATTGTGGAAACCAGTGGAATAGGCGAAAGGAGTACGTTTAGCGAATCAAGATGAATCCTCAATGGTTCTGCAATAACCACAATTCTAACAGTGAAATTAAAAACATAAAGGAAGATGATGGAGCTTATTCGTTATAAACCTTGGGGGTTTCCTCGGCAGACTTCTTGGATTCTGGAGCGGAATCTTCATCCTCCTCAGCAGAAGCCGAAAGCCGATTCCTCTTTTTGCTTTTTGCAGGCTCGACAACCGCATCAGAAGAGGACCCAGGGGAAGCCGTAGACGATTTGCCACGCCCTCTTGAAGCTGTACTTGTCGACGCGCGCGAAGGCGTAGCTGGCCCACGCTCTTTCTTCATTCTTTCTTCAAATTCCTTCAAAAATAGACGGAAGCTGGAGTAATGAAGCCATTGACAGAAAACGGCTTTCCAGAATGTCAGTCAATCAGGGTTTCGCTGTCGTCGCGACAAAAATACCATCGGATTTTAAAGGAACCTTTTTGTACCGAAGTTTTGGGGAGGCTGCGTGTAAGTTGCATGGGAGGCGGAACGCAACCAATGCAAAAAACGATACACAAAATGCAAAGTGAACGGCCTTAACGTTAACCTTAGTGGACATAATGACAGCGGGATAACTAACAGATATAAGGAAGGACTCACCTTAATTAAATCTGGACAGTCAAGATTCTCTTCGGGTTCCCAGGTATTTTCTTCTTCGGGATAGCCTTTCCATTTTAAAAAATATTCCTTTCGACCATTGCGAATACGAACTTTAGTTATACGTTCAACTTGATACTCGTCTTCTGCGATTTCCTCACTGTCCTCCGAATCATGTGTATCGCCCTTAGCGGACATCGCCAAAAACCCAAAATGGCAGCCAAAATATAATCGCGTGACCACTCTCGCATCCTTATTGGTTCATTCAAATTAATGGCAACGGTAATGTAAGGACTGCCAAAAATGTAGTCTACAGTTCGGCCTTAGCGACTCAGAGTTGGAAGCGAAACTTAAGCAGAATACCACCATACTTGGCACTAAATCTAATAAACATTGGCTGCTTATGCAATGAACAGCACTTGAACTTAAGTTCTAAGTTAACTGGGCATCGAGGCATTTTCGGCCAAGACAAACGGGACTAGAATAGTCATGTCTACCTTATTAGTTGTCATCTGTCAGTCACAGTCAACCCTAGATATTTTTTTATTCCCGAAGCTCAAATTCACGACTTATTGGTTAGGATTGCAGCATCCTAAACATTGAATCAAAGGCTTGTTGACCTGTCGGTTTCGCTCGTGTGTATACAGAGCGATCGTGGGGCGCCCAATTTGACGTAGGAAGCAATTGAGAACAAAAATGAGGTAGATAGAAAGCAACCACACAAAACATAAGTGATATTCTGTGAAAAATCGCGATAATTGGTCTGATAAAGCGGATTAAGTGTGCATAACTGTGAGTACCGTGTAGCACATAGGATGCAGTCATGAAGAAACAGATGTTTCGCTTATTGAGGATGGCACATAATTATCGGTGTGCCTTGGAGTTCAATTTCAAGCCTCAATGGCAGCCGTGCAGTGGCTTCTAACACAGGCAGAATAACATTGCCGACAAAGATTTGGTAGACTGGAATGGATATTTCTAGCTTTCCAGACGTTATCGGTTAGCCGTATCGGTTAGCACTGTAGCTCGACC